ACGTACTACGTACTACGTACTACGTACTACGTACTACGTACTACGTACTACGTACTACGTACTACGTACTACGTACTACGTACTACGTACTACGTACTACCTACTACCTACTACGTACTACTACCTACTACCTACTACCTACTACCTACTACCTACTACCTACTACCTACTACCTACTACCTACTACCTACTACCTACTACCTACTACCTACTACTTACTACTACTACTACTACTACTACTACTACTACTACTACTACTACTACTACTACTACTACTACTACTACTACTTTTCTTGGTCCGCATTGCGGGGTGCAAATTTGAATTTCCATTCATCCCTGGTGGCATCAGCACCAGCAATTTGCCTGACAACAGTGTCATGGCCCAAAGTCAGCTTGGAGCTTAGACCCTTTACTCGGCGTGCTATCCGGAAAAGCAGCCAGTGCTCTTTCGCAGTGCTCAGACATTTGCGATCCATTTAGCACTAGGTTCCTTTAGATCAACTCTTTCTGTTGACCAGTGTTGGACCTAAAATCCACACTGGCAGCGGAGCCTGTGAGATCAGGTGACGCTCAAAGTAGAGCATCAGTGTGACGCAATGGCAATTGAGGCAACCATCAACCCAAAGTTGCCCACATGGAGTGGGGATTGGCTTCAATGGCCAGACTACAAGTTGTCGGTAGAATTGGAAGCGGATGCCACTTCCAAAGACGACCTCAGCAGACTTGCTCCAAAGTTGGTGAGAAACCTCACCGGAAAGGCATGGGAGACAGCGGTTGGCCTTGAGAGAGAGAAATTGAAAAGTGAAGATGGAGTGAACTATTTGCTTTCCTATTTGGAGGAGAAACGAGGCCGCCAAAAGGTTGATGTCCTCGGAGATGCTCTTGGAGTCTATTTCCAAAAGAGCGAGATAGTGCGAAAAGATGGTGAGGTTCGGAATGACTTCGAAGCTCGCCATGCGGCTAAAGTCCGAGACATCAACAAAGCTCTGGTCGCAGTCGGCGCAAAAGGTGATACTCCAAGTGAAATCTGGGGTTGGTTCCTTTTGCACCAGTTTGTCCGCCTTGAGCCCTCCGACGTGGCCACCGTGAAGTCTTTTGCCAAGAACTACCAGCTTGATGAAGTCTGTAGAGCCATGCGTCAACTATGGGGAGGTGATAGCCTTGCTCTCCGTGACCAGGAGCACAAAAAGGCAAAGAACAATGTCAAGGTTTTGATGAATGAGCCCAACACGCCTGATGACAATGGCATTTGGTTAGGATCTCCAGATCTTGACGGTGAGGAAGTGAATCATGAAGATGATCCGGATCTCACTGAGGATGAGATCTCAGTCTTGTTTGATGAAGCATGCGAGGCCCTTCGTGAAGACCCTACTAACCCAGTAGTCCTTGCCAATTTCCAAGAGATGAAGAAGTTGAAGTACACGGAAGCCAGGAAGGCTCTGGACCGTAGCCGAACAGCCCGTGGATTCTTTCCCAACAGCACCCGAAGCAGCACGTCCATGAACTCCCGCACAAGGAAGCCACCACCTTTTGATGGTCTTTGCATGCGGTGCGGAAAACATGGCCACAAAGCCAGAGATTGTCTGCAGAAGGCTGCTCCTTCAAACTCTCGTCGTGAACCAGCTGCTGGAAAGATTGGTTTTGTGGGCTACTTGCAGGACGCCAACCAGGCTCTTGTGAATGACGCGGACACGATCATGGATACTGAGAGCGCAATGGTCTTTGAAGAGGACCTTGACTTTCTGTATCAAGAGAGCCATCCCATCCATGTGGCAGTGGCATGTGAGAAAGGAGCTGAGAACTCAGAGGGTCCTGGGTTCATTGGATCGACGCAGGAAACCACCCGTGACAAAGCAATCATTGACTGCGGGGCTTCCGAGTCCATTGTTGGAGCCAACATGTTGCAGGATTTCTGCGACACGCTTCATGAACTTGGCTTTGACCCAAAGTCGGAAGTCACGGTGGATCGTCAAGTGAAAAAGAGCTTCATCTTCGGCAACAATGAAAACAGTTCCTCACTTGGACTTGCCAAGGTCAACACTGGTATGTGTGGCACCGAACAATCAGTTGATCTGCACGTTGTGGAAGGATCGACACCCTTCCTGCTCTCCAGCAAATGGTTGTGGGAGCAAGAGGCGACTATCAACTTCAAGACGGGCAAGGCCCTTTTTCCCAAGTTGTCTGACAACCAGGTGCAGCTCGAACGAGCCCCTATATTCCATCTTCTTTTGCCACTCACGGCTTTTGAAGGAAATGGAAAGTTGATCAACGAGCTGCTGGTGACTGATGATGATCAGGATGTCTCTATCCTCAAGCTCCAGAGTGCGCCTCCTGAGAAGACCACGCTGAGTGAGGGGTCGGAATAGGGACATCTCCACCAAGATTGTCCATCGGTCACAGTCTTGAGTGGGCCAGAAATTTTGAATGCGGATCCGCATAGCGATAGTGTAGGGAGATCTGTCCCATTTTCCCAGACAGATCCAGCAGTGAGTTCCCTTGAGTGTTGTGGTGGTAACACTCTCTCTAACACTGTTCTGTCGCAAGTGGACTGCCCAATTTTGGCCGATATGCATGACAAGTTTGATCGAATTCGTTTTGAAAATGAACGAGAAACTATGCGGTGTTTTTCTTCCTTAGCTAATGGACGCCAGTTGGACTTGTTGGAAGTTTGTGCTCCTTGGGATTCCCCTCTCGCTTCTGCAGTTGAAAATCATGGTGGTACTGTTTTCAGAATGGGGATACATAATGGTTTTGATTTGGGTACTCGTGCTGGTTTTATGAAAGCTGTTTATGTGTTGAAACGATTGCGTCCTCGTTACGTTCATGTCAGTCCTCCGTGTTTTCCCTTCTCAATTATGCAAAATGCAAATCAAAGGAATTCTGAACAAATCAGGGAACTTGAGGCAAAGCGACAAACAGGACGGCGCATTTTGCATCATTGCACTCGCTTATTGGAGATTCAAATCATGGAGCTGGGATCTCAGGGTGGCTGGGCAACAGCCGATCATGCTGTTAGCCAAGAAGAACATGATGGTGGACTTGAACAACCACTTAGAGCCTTGTCTTGGAAAGAACCCAGTCTGAAGAAAGCCACTAGGTTATGTGGGGGACGCTTCCGTGTAGATGGGTGTCGGCACGGCTGTAAAGACTTGAAAACGGGACAACCCCTTCAAAAATCTTTTGGGTGGCTTAGTTCGTCTCTGGGGATACGTAAAGCTCTTCAAATGACTTGTAATCACCCACCAGGATACCATTTACCAATTGAAGGACACAGAACCGCAGCTTCTGCAGTATATCCATCACAGCTCTGTGAACGCTTTGCCCAGGCATTGATGAAAGATCGATCAGCCTTCTTGGGGTTAGTAGATGCATGCCAGGAAACACATGCGTTTGATGAGTGTTTTCATGAGGCAGGTCAGGCATCTGTTCAGGATGAAGAGAGACCACCGAACGCTGAGGGCCAGGATCCTCCCAGAGAATCACCAAATCCCATTTTGGGGGAAGAAAAATCTCAAGAAGACCAAGAAATCATCAGGAAACTCAGGGTTATTCATGCTAATTTGGGGCACCCCAACAAAACCACGATGGGAAGATTGTTGAAAGAAGCTGGGGTCACTCAAAAAGTCCTGCAATTAGCCGACCAAATGGAATGCACCGTGTGCCGACAAAGGGGTCGGCGAGCACCATTGCGACCAGCAGCAGTTCCGGCCGTCACTGAACCATGGGACTCTATTTCTGTCGACACGTTTTGGTGGTCTTCACCTCACAAAAAGCAAGGGAAACCCCAAAGATTTTGTGTGGGAGCCAGTTTGTTTGATGAGGGAAGTAACTACCATGTTGTTGGAATAGTTCGACAAGGTGAAAAACCCCAAGAATCTATTACTGCTGAAGAATTTAAAACGTGTTTTCGGTCGTGTTGGTTGCGGTGCTTACCAAAACCCAAACGAATACGGTATGACTGTGAAGGTTTTTTCCGCAAGTTGGACCTTTTTCAGTGGCTGGAGGGTCAGGGGATTCGAGTGCAAGCCATCGCTGCAGAAGCGCCTTGGCAACTTGGCAAGCACTCGAAACACCTGGAGACTGTGAAAGAAAATGCAAGTCTCTTGGCCCTTGAAACGGCCGCTGATGTCGACGTGGAAGAGACGTTTGACGCCACTTTGGCAGCAAAGAATGAGCTGCATACGTTTCGTGGCTTTGCACCAAATCAATGGGCTTTCGGACAAAATTGTGATCGTGTGGGGTCCTTTTTGCAGAATGGAGAACATCCTGTCGTTCAGCAACAGAGGTCTAAACAGGTGTCTTTTGAGGATCACATGAAACGTAAAAACGAAGCTAGAATGATTTTCCTTAGGGAGGATGCCAAGCTTCGAATACAAAGAGCCGCACACGCAAACATTCGTCGTGCACAAGAGTTTGAAACCGGGCAGTTGGTTTACTTCTTCAGACGGGGTAGGGGTCATGGGAATAGGTATGAGAGTTATTGGTTTGGGCCCGCTAAAGTTGTTTGTGTTGAAAAAACGGGCGACCCCGAAAGGAATCAAAGTGCTGGTTCTGTTGTTTGGATTGTTCACGGTACCACTCTCTACCGCTGTGCACCAGAGCAACTTCGTGTGGTCACACATGAAGTTCAAAATTTGAGTCACTTGTTTGGATCCAAAGAAACTCCAAGTTCGATGCTTGAAAATGCTCGACAGAGCCAACAGTATAGAGATATCACTAGTGAATCTCAGCTGGTTGAACCTGATGCTGATGAAGCTGTTGATGAAGATCCAAACCTTGATGGCTCACTCGTTCGGGCTCAAGAAGAACTTTCCCGCACGTTAGTGCCCATCCGCCGACTCCGTGGTAAGCAGAATGTCCTTGAACACCTCTGCCCTCCTCAGCGCCCTGCAGACCAAGCAGGACAAGAACCGGCATCCGGAAGTGGAATCCAGCGAGAACCTCACTCAGAACTACCGCGAGATGGATCTCAAGCAGCTGGGAGAGATGGAGCAGAAGCACGGGAAGTACTCCGGGGTGAAGCTAGTGGACATCGTGGAAAAGAAGGAGGACTTCACATACCTGCGGTGGCTCGTAGAGCATCATCCAAAGAACCCCAAGTTTTTGGCCCTGCTGATCTATCTGGAGCGTCACGAGCTCGTGGCCAGTCAGCAAGCCAAGACAGCCGAGCCCAAGTCAGTGAAGAAGCCCGGCGAGATTTTGATACCCATGTCCAGTCAAAGCGGCTCGCCCTACCCAGCCGGGAACCAGGACTCAATGCTCAAGATCGAGATCCTCGAGAAGCGCATGCAGGAGATGCACTCCGAAATGCAGACAATGTTCCAAACGATTCTGGAGCTGAAGGATCACAATCGCCAGATCCAGGAGGCAGTCATGGTTCTCAGCAATCATGTGGCCGGACACCAGAATCGCATCCAACACCTCGAGGACACGGCAGTACTGCCCTCCGACTTCGAGCCAGTCCCGCCGTTCCAGCAAGGATGAGATCACGAAGCCGACACCGGGATCATGAGTCTGACTCCGTGCGGTGGAATGAGAGTCTACCCACTGGTGAAGATGCCTTCATGACCATTGGCGAAATTCTCTCTTCTGAGCCTGAGCCGGTTTTGTTTGATTCCGAAAAGGAATGCTTTCCAGTTGGTTGTGCACGCGTTCCTGCGAAGAACAGGACCAACCATGCACGGGATGGGATTAATCGTGGTTGTTTTTCTTGGATGCCTGATGATTGTTTTGGTGAGCCCACTGTTGATCAGGAGGAGACGCCCATTCCTGTGAATTACATGGTTGAAAATTCGGAAATGATTGAAATCACTATGATTGTGGCCCCAAGGGATGTCCATAATCAAAGGCGAAATGGAGTTCAAGAGTGGGTTCTGAATCAGAAACCCAAAAAGAATGCTGAAGTAAAACTCAAGACCCTCAATGAGGAAGAAAAAGCTGAATTCCGTGTTGCCATGCGGAGTGAGATTGACAGTTTTCTGGAAAGGGAAGCCATTGCCATTGCGTCAAGACACGGTATCGACCCCCAAAAGTTGTTGAACATGCGTTGGGTTTTAACCTACAAGCCTATCACCGATGAACAGGGAGAAGTCACAGGACGTAAACCTAAAGCACGTCTTATTATTCGTGGTTTCGAAGACCCTAGCTTATTGCAGCTGAGTCGTGATTCACCAACCTTGTCTGTTCAAAGTCGAAACTTGATGCTGGCTCTGACAGCCATTCACCATTGGCCTCTCTGGGCTGGGGATATTAAGACTGCTTTTCTCAACGGTGATAAGCTGCCCCCGGAAAAACAACTTTTTGGGGAACCCCCGAATGAAGTGAGGGAGGAGTTGGGAATGAAACCACATGAAGTTCTCAGAATTCAAAAGGTGATTTACGGGTTGTTACACGCACCAAGGGCTTGGATGGAAAAACTCAATTCCGTTTTGCAAAGCCATGGTTGGGTTACCTCACGTTTAGAACCTTGTATTTGGAGACTGTTTAATGATAAAGGGGAACTTCAGGGTCTTATTGGTTGTCATGTTGATGATTTGTTGGTGAGTGGTAAAGGGGATTTGTTTGAATCACGTATTAAAGAACTGCGTTCGGCGTTTCCTTTCGGATCCTGGCAGTCCGCTCAAGAAGAGCAGATTACTTTCTGTGGTTGCGAAATCACTCAGGACTCGCATTTTTCAATTTGCCTAGGACAGGAACGATATGCCCTCGGCATCAACGAGATTTGTGTGTCTCCGCAGAGAAAGAAAGATCCTCAAGCTAAGGCCAATATTGAGGAGAAGAAACAACTCAGAGCCACTCTAGGTGCCTTATCTTGGAGAGCCACACAGACATGTCCATGGCTGGCAGCAAGTGTTTCCGTGTTGCAGGGAAAACAAAATGACCCGTCCATTGAAGATCTGTTGGAAGCTAACAAACTCATCCGGATGCAGAGGCAATTTTGTGAAATGCCCCTGAGATTTAGCAGTCAAATTCAAGAACCTGTTTTGGTCAGTTATTCGGATGCTAGTTGGTCTTGTAGGGCTGATGGTTCTTCTCAGGGCGGTCAACTTACCGTTCTAGCAGATCGAAAGTTTCTGGATGGTCACCGTAGCGAGTTCTCTTTGGTCAGTTGGCAGAGTAGAAAGCTTGGTAGAGTAGCCCGTTCATCCACATCCGCTGAGGTACAGATGGCTTCTAATACCACTGATAACCATGAATTTTTGAAGCAGGTTATTCTTGAATGGTTTAACAAGGAAAAATTTGAACCTCATCAAGTGGATGCAGCTATGCGCCAAATTCCTTCGGTCCTGATCCTTGATTGCAAAAATCTGTACGATGCCATGTGTAGGATCCAGTCAAGTGGACTTCAACTTGAAGAACGCAGAACTGCCATTGATGTTTTGTCAATCCGTGAAAGAACACTTGAAACTGGAATCCAGGTTCGTTGGACGGACTCTGATCAACAGTTGGCTGATGGACTTAGTAAACCCAAAAAATTTGATCATCTTTTGGATTTGCTGAAACAAGGTTTGATAAATATTGTTTTTGATCCTCTGTTTACCTCGGCTAAGAAAAAGCGGGCCGCTATGCGACAAGAACAGAAACAGAGAGATAGTTTTGATTCCCTGGGAACTCAAGATGCTGATGCCATAAAGAAAAGAGAACGGATGCAAATTTGAAGTTCCATGCATCCCTGGTGGCATCAGCACCAGCAATTTGCCTGACAACAGTGTCATGGCCCAAAGTCAGCTTGGAGCTTAGACCCTTTACTCGGCGTGCTATCCGGAAAAGCAGCCAGTGCTCTTTCGCAGTGCTCAGACATTTGCGATCCATTTAGCACTAGGTTCCTTTAGATCAACTCTTTCTGTTGACCAGTGTTGGACCTAAAATCCACACGGGGGGAGGCGCTGCCCCCCCCGCTTTTATTTTTCAACCGGCGCCTTGCTACCTACTCCTATTCCTTTTGTTTTGCCCAGCAGCATCAATGATTTGGGTTCCTATGCGCTGCTTTCTTGGTCCGTATTGCGAGGGGAAGCGCTGCGCCGTCCCCCCTGCACCCCCCACCCGCTTTTTTTTACATGCTCCCCTTGCTGGCTACTCCTACGTCTTTTAGAAGGGGCTTAAGGGGTGCTTAAGGAAAGGGCTTCAAGGATTGCTTCAAGGATGGCTTCAAGGAGGCTTCAAGGCGGGCTTCAAGGCGAGCTTTAAAGAGGGCTTCAAGAGAGGCTTCAAGGGAGGCTTCAAGAGAGGCTTCAAGGGTGCCTTCAAGGAGCAGCTTCAAGGGGTAGCTTCAAGGGTTAGCTTCAAGGGGGGCTACTACTACTACTACTACTACTACTACTAGTACTAGCACTACTACTACTACTACTACTACTACTCCTACTACTACTACTACTACTACTACTACTACTGCGACTACTGCGACTACTACTACTGCGACTACTACTACTACTACTGCTGCTGCTACTACTACTACTGCTACTACTACTACTACTACTGCTACTACTACGTACTACTACTACTCTTACTACTACTACTAGTATTCCTTCTACGCTACTACTAGCAGTACTACTACTGCTATTACTTAAGTTCTACCTTAAGCCCCCGTTTAAGCCATCCCTTAATTCTTCCTTGAAGCATCTCTTAAAGCTTCTTCCTTGAAGCATCGCTTAAGACCCCTTAAGTTCTCTTGAGTCCGCGTTTATCCCTTATGCCTTCCTGATATGTTGCCACCAGAGCCAGCTCCAAGTGTCACGCCTCAACACACACAATTTAAAAACGGGATGGAATAAGAATCTGCTTGGGAAAAGGAAGGTGAAGGCTTTTCTTACTCCGCCATCGTTTCGATATCGTGTTGATTACAGGGGGTAATTGAATTGAAAAACATAGCACGGAGCACGGACGGAACAGCGCGCACTTTGACGGTCCCATTTTTGGGACCGTCTGGCACTAAAAATGAGACCGCAAAAATCGCAAAATCAACAGTGAAGGCCGACCCGTGCAACAAACAAAAAATGACAACTGCGTTTAGTTAAGCAACACACAGGCCACCCGGAACCAGAATACGAAAAAGGAGTGACAAACCAGACAACTGCGAAGAAAGGTGGCCAAAAGTAAATCGAAAGCGGGCTGAGATGAATTAAAGAGTACGAATGCAAAATCATAATCCATGTTCTTTCTGGCTGAAAACTTTGGTAGGAGTCTAGAGGGCAAGGGAGGCCAATAGGGGCAGTGAAGTATTCAATAGAATCATTTAAATCTAACACTTCAAGCAATCACCTAACGCTGCAAAAGGCTGCTGCGCCTTCTTTGGCAGCAAACAATCAAGCCACCAGACAAAACGAAATCACAAAAAGCCACCTTCAACTGGGTTCAAGCAGCAACCGATATGCACTCCGCTTGCCCCAACAAGAAACAAAATCTACAAAACAGCTTGCTCCGACAGACCCAATTTTGGGTCCAAAAAAGCTTCTCAAAACCGCTTCGCTGAAAAAGGGCCTCCCTAACAGCTCGCTGAAAATGCAACCAAGTTGATGTAGTTGCCGCGTTGCATTGTCAAGGTCAGTGATCCGCTGGGGCGGACCTTCTGGGATGCCCCGGGGTTTCTGGCACGCTTTCTCTAAAAGTTTGGCAGAATTTCTTCACCTGTAATTGGCACAATGTCAGTTGAATGGAGCACCACCCAGGCAACATTCACCAATCGGTCGCCACTCCTTTTTCTTCTGTTCTTTTACTAAGCTGTGCTGTGCATGCGGTCCCAAAAAATTTTGGGATGTTTTGTTTGGTTTGCTTGTTTTTTGTGTTGTGCTTGTTTTTTGTGTTGTTTGTGTTGCTTTTGGTGTGGTCTGGTTATTTGCTGTTTTTTTTTCAATGGATCGTGACGGCTGCTGGTATCAGCTGTCTGCGTTCCCTAGCTCCAATGTGGCGATTTGCGATGCAGCAACACCCAGGCAACATTCACCAATCCCCACTCCGTGCTATGTTTTAATTCAATTACCCAATGTAATTGACACGATATCGAAATCATGATTCATATTCTTTCTGGGCTGAAAACTTCGGTAGGAGTCTAGAGGGGCAAGGGGGGTCAACAAGGGGCAGTAGAGTATTCAATACAATCATTCAAATGGAAGCCGGCCACCTGCGCGAAAACCCACAAACTCCGCAACAGCAAGAAACACCTCAAGCAATCACCTAAGGGCTGCAAAAGGCTGATGGGCCTTCTTTTAGCAGCAACTTCGTGACGGCCTGCTGGACTGTGTACAGGTCCTTGCCACTTCACTCTTGAGGTCCCTCAATCTGCGTCAATTAATAAATTAACCCTATTTTGCAACATACAATTGAACGCGTTGAACGACCTGACGGAAGCCATAAAGGCGTTGGACGGAAAAAATCATAATTCATGATGTATGTTCTTTCTGGGCTGAAAACTTTGGTAGGAGTCCAGAGGGGCAAGAAGGGCCAATGGGCAGTAAAGTATTCAATACAATCATTCAACTGGAGCCGACCGCCTGCGGAACAGCAAGAAACACTTCAAGCAATCACCCAACGCTGCAAAAGGCTGCTGCGTCTTCTTTAGCAGCAAACAATCAAGCTACCAGACGAAACAAAATCATCACAAGCTACCTTCAACTGGGTTCAAGCAGCAACCGATGTACACCCTGCTTGCCAACAAGAAACAAAATCATCTACAAAATAGCTTTTCCAGCCCAATTCTGGGTCCGGAAAAGCTTTTCAAAACCGGTTCTCTCAAAAGGGCCTCTTAATTGCCCTTCCGGTCGCCATAAGCTACAAAGCTTCATTGAAACTAAAACGTTGCGCTTCTGCAACCTTGATACAAAAAACTTCAAAAAATGAACCTGAACACGGTCCCAAAAATGGAACTGCCTGGCGGTCCCAGCCTGCTTTTTTTATCTTCCCAACCAGCCATCGGTACAACTTGTGCCAGTCAGGTCCAGGTGGAGTTTCAGTCATGACGATCAGGTTCAGCTGTCTTCTTATGGGGGTCTCCCAATCGCCAGTGCTGTTCAATAGATACATTCAGCCCGTACTCAGTCGAAATGCTTTTGTGCTGTTCAAGTGCGTAAAGCAGATCCAAGAAGCTAATTGCAGGGTTCTTTGCGTACCAGGACTTCACAACTTGTTCCCTGGAGAGCAGAGACATCTCACCGTTCAGTTCCTGTGTAGCTGATTTGGGTGTAAAGGTTATAAAGGGGGAGAAATGGGGAGGTGTTGAGAATCCTGACACGTCTCTGGTCAGAAGACTCAAGCACTCCTGTCAGTACCGAAACACAAAGTCAAAGAAAAGAAGGAACCCCCAAACCAAGACCAACAAAACAGAAACCAGAACAAACCCAAAACAAAAGGGGGGGGAGGGAGAAAGTGTTGAAAAACCTGACACGTCTTTGGCCAGGCAGTTCAAGCACCTTAACAGGAAACAAGAGGAACAAATAACACCCAAAACAAGAAATAAAACAAGACAGCACAAATGAAGCGGCGCCCAAGGCGGTGAGGGAGTTAAGTGCAATCAGGGGGGGAAAGAGCGGGACAAGAAAAGCTGGAAGCCCTGACAGTCTTCAGTCAGAAAATCCAGGCACGAGAGAAAAGAGGAAATCAGAAAGGGAAAAGGAGGGAGTAGAGCACAAGGACGAGTCAAAGAACAAAAGAGGAGAAGAGAGAGCAAATCAAAAAGAGGGGGGTGGAGAGAGGCGCTGGTAGCCCTGGCACGTCTTTAGCCAGAAAAACTAGAAGCCAAGTTTCATCCCTATTCCTTGTGATAAGATGCTGTTGTTCTCTCCAGAAAAGGTAGTTCCATATGAGAGAAATTGGTTGATAAGCCGTCCAAGATAGCTGATACACATTGTGTCCCAGGACTGATCTAACACGGAGGAGTGGCCCAAAAGGAATCGCATGACCACTAAAATCTAACAAAGGCCCTTCTATGTCATTCGGTTCAAGGACAACAGTCCTGGAGACTTTGACACAGTCTTGGTAGTTGCGAAAGTAGAATCTGTTACGCCTTATGCCATGTGTACTGGGGAGGACCGCCTTTGGGAGTCGAAATTCTATATACCTTTCCAACCCCAAAAATGGGCATGAAACAAATCGAACAGTTCAGTGACATCATCTTGCACTTCTTGCGGTTTCTTGCGGGGTCGTCTGGAGTCGCAAAGTTGGAACTCTTTCAACCCTTTCCACATTGTAAATGGGGTTTCAGCAGGTGTACCGACTCCGCCCGACTCCGGCAAGACTCCGCAGCTAAAGACATCAAAACTGGCACAAAACTGTGGTAAAATCGAAGTTTTGCATCTCCAGCCTTCTTACGGAATCTGCTGGAGTCATGAAATCGAAACTCTTCCCCCAATGCAAACAAAGGATTCATCCGGTTTTAAATATATACTATTATTCTTTAACCGGATGATACTGAACTCCGGGCGACATACACAACCCGACCCGCAAAGTTGCCGCGTTAGGAGTCTATAAGGGGCGAAGGGGGGGAGCCCAAAAACAAACAACGCATCAAG